GAAGTGAATTCTAAGGCAGGGTGGAAAGAATTAACATAAGAAATGAAAGAGTCTAAATCGTCACGAGAACAAGAGGTAGCCCCAATACAGTCGTCAATATAGCGGCCAAAAAACTCAGGTTTAGGACCGGTATATTGTTGAAAGATAAGGTTTTCAATGTAACCAACAAACAAATTAGCATAACTAGGGCCCATTTTGGTTCCCATAGCAACGCCATTTATCTGCTTGAAAAACTGATCACCAAAAGAAAAACAGTTAAGAGTGAGAACAAGTTCGGCTAAGCGTAATAAAGTAGGAGTACTAGGCTGAAGGACAGAACGACGATCAAAGAAACAACGAAGGGCGCGAAGCCCTTCGTCGTTGGGAATAACAGTATACAAAGATTTAACATCCATAGTGAACAAGAATTTATTAGAGTTAGCGGGAAAGCGGAAATCATTAAAAATAGAAAGAGCATGATTAGTGTCTTTAATGTAAGTAGGTAAAGACTGAACAATAGGAAGCATAACAGAGTCAAGATAGCTTGAGATGAGCTCAGTAGGACAATTACAAGCAGAAACAATAGGACGGCCAGGGTTACCGTCCTTATGGATCTTAGGTAGAAAGTAGATATGAGAAGTACGTGGAGTAGTAACAAATAACTTGACAGCAGTGGGAGGTAGAGAGCCGTCGGAGATGAAAGAGTTGACAGTGTCCTTAACTGTCTTCTGATTGTCAARGGTAAGATCATTATCAACCTTACAATAAAAATGCTCATCAGAGAGCTGGCGGAGAGCCTCCTGCTTATACAGGTCGGTACGCCAAACAACAACAGCACCCCCTTTTGACGGCGGGCTTAATGACAATGTCAGAACGGTTACGTAAGGAGCGTAGAGCCGCCCATTCGTCCTTAGAAAGATTAGAATAGCTAAGTTGACGTTAGAGATATCACGACGACACTTATTAATAAAAAGATCGAGAGAAGCCAACTCGCCTTCAGGAGGGACCCAGTTAGAACCACTCGGATTAAGACACTGAAATACATCACGTTCAACGTCAGAAGGATAAATAGAGAAATGAGCTCTAAGGCGAGTACGACGATAAAAAGATTCAGCATCTTTCTTAACCTGAAATTCATCAGTCTTCTTAGCAAGGGGGACAAAATTCAAACCCTTACTAAGAACAGATATTGATTGCATGGTTTTACACACAAAGTCTCTAGATATTAACAGCTTCGTTAATTTTTTCAATGCAATTCAAACACCTTATCAAAGTAGAGTCAAAAGTAGAGAGAAATTTCAAATAATCAATACAGAAAGAGTAACAAATAATTATTTGAAAAAATATTGATTTCGTGTACTCTCAAGACCCCCCTAAACTATGATTTTAAACATTCAAGACATTTTTCAACGGCTGGAATCTATATATCCCGATAAAACACGCACTCTCGTTCTATAAACAACACGTACAAAGCACTTTCCATGCTATAAGCTGTTTATTATGTGTTGTTTATAGAACGAGAGTGCGTGTTTTATGTAGTGTATAAAGAACGAAAGAGTGTGTTTTACCTGTGTGATTATCTGACAACATTTTATTGGCCAATGACCTTATGAATTATTGATGAGTTTGATAACGGGATATATATACCCGATAAAACACGCACTCGAGTTCTATAAACGACTTCTATAACTCCAACATTCAGAAATTGTTATCATTTTAGAAAAAAACTAAAAAATGCGAAAACAGTGATAATGCATACGGAACTTCTAATGAGCATGTGCATTGTGCAACACTTGAAAGAATTTTGATCCCATAAGAAAGAACGGCTATTCTAGCTATAGTGCATGTCGGCACATTTATTCAAACTGATTTAAAACCTAGCAAAGGTCTATGATGCGACATTAAAACTGAGACCTTTGCTAGTGTTGGGTTGCGATAAAGCGCTGATGAACTTGATCAGTTCTTTATATCTGATTAATAAAACATCACTTCTATATATCTTATATAGAACTGATCAATAAAACATCAATACTTTATCGGATATAAAGGCACGTCATGTGACCCAACAGTTCGATGCTCATTGGCCTAATAGCTCATGAATTATTAATTATTAGAAATTATTTTAGAAATATATAACGAGACTTTCATTCGGCATACTTTTTAATAAGCTTGTTCAACTATTATGAGAAACAAACTCAATGAGCTTATGTATAGATAAAAATGCACAGATAATTAAACTTAATAAACTTGATAAAACTTAAGGCTTACAAAAAAAACAACTAAATTAATAGTCTTACTTTCCACTGAAG